AGACGTGTGCTCTTCCGATCTCCCCAAAACCCCAAAACCCCAAAACCCCATTCAGGAAAATAGATTACTCAGCATTAAAAAAGGAAGTATAAGGAAAATACTTAATTAATGAATTAAATAATTCTAAGGAGGATAAAATCTTCGTTAGAGGCTTATTTAGACTTCCTAATTTAAAGGACTGTGGAGCCGATGGCTAGCATTCACAAATATGAATGATTGTTATTGATATTTTCTTTTCAAATTACTTAAGCTCTTTTGTAAGAGTGTATCGCCGACTTATTCGCAAACTTGGCAAGTCTTTTCTTTTTTAGCCTCGACTGGCTCTCAAGTAGATTGATAACTGATTTCCTTTTAGACTCATCATCGAAATCCTACTAGTAATCATATCCTCTTGCTTGCATATTGCTAGCACTATTCCTAAAGATTCCATAGCTTTCAATGTAATCACAGTCTGCTCTCTCGCTGATTTATTAGAAAGGATTTGAGGATATGGCTGTGTTTATGCTATATCTTTCACTTGGATTAGTTCTATGAAAATTCTGACCCTCTAACTTAATGGACTTTACTAAGTTTTTAGTCAAAGTTTCGTAGCTTTTAAGCGTCTGCTTATGTTAGGTGTCTTCGATTAGAGGTTCCACATTTAAACTCATAAAATCAAACATCTGGACTAAAACATTGTCAAGCTGATCAATAGCACTTGTCCCGGGATTGCTTGTTCTATTGTCTAAAGTACTCACTTACTTGCTTATGAATGGATTCTCTGACATTGTTCCATAGACTAGTTTTGCATCGTTAGATTTTTTCACTCCTTAATAGCAATTTGAAGTTGTCTTAGACTGAGGTAGCTCGAGATCGTAGAATTTTACTTAGTTTCTGGACTTTGTGGTTCTTTGATTATTGATATCAGTGGGTGCAGAGAGAATTGAAAATCTTTGATTTTATGCCTGCCTCTTGTTGAATGGATCTTCACTCTCAAAATTTAACTGCCTTTTTATGCATTGAAAAGGTTCATCCTTTCCTTTATTATGCTAAACTATCTCGATCTCTTCATTATTAATCATGGAGACTCTATCCTACTCTTGCGAAGATTTCTTGGTGAGCTATTCCTCCTATGTCTATTAAGCGAAAGCTTAATGTTTATCTTTGATGCTAGTGATTTGATTCTCAAGTTATTTGATCTTATTCTCTAAGTTGGCTATGTCACATTTACTTATTGATCTGCTGACTGATGTGGTAGCAGATAAATCAGACGAGGAAAGGACGTCACCGAAGCAGCTGACCCCTCCATCACCAATTAAATTGAAAACTCCATCAAACACTTGCTGCTAAGGCAGTTGCTTCTGATCACTGCTAAATAGCTTGGGATTGCTATTTGGATTATGTGAGTTCTCTTTGTCAGTGGTTTCAAGTTGGAATAAACTCCTTGAACTAGATAAAAGCCCTCCACATTCCTCCTTATCACTGAGAGTCTTTGATTCATGCTGATTTTTAAGGTTTTGGGAAATCCCATTTCTGATCTATTGTGAAGGTTTCTGATACTGATATCCATTTATTTACATGGATTGCTTTAGATTTGTCGGATTTTTACTGACACTTTTTTGCAAATTGAAACTTTGATTGTATTAGCCGAAACCATAGGTGCTGGTTTTGGAAAGATTATTGGTATTTCTGTAGTTAGAGTACTTTGAGTCCCTCATTGATTAAAGTTTTAACTGATAAATTAACAACTATATTTGCCTTTTAAAATTATTTTAAGATATGGAGATATATATCTGATAGTAGTATTGCTAATTTTGAATTTGTTAAATATTTTTTGATTTTACATTCGCGGGGTTTTGGGGTTTTGGGGAGATCGGAAGAGCA